TTTATAGCAGCTCATACGTAATATAGCAATCAAAACTTAATCTCTTCATGAATAGTCTTAAACCCATTTTAGGATGTTGGTCTAAAATTACCTTTTAAACTGTGAGTATTTTATCTATATATAAAAGAAACCCATGTGGGTAAGTGGTCACTTAATTATTAGTTAAAAGGTATTTTACCTTAGGTGTGGGGGTTCAATTTCTATTTTTTTCTACATTTTTTCGCTGTGGTTATGGTCGTTGCTGCTTAAAAGGGCAACCGGTAGATTGGACAATCGTTGCTGCTTAAAAGAGCAGCCGGTAGATTGCACTCTTGTCCAAGTTCAGTACCTCTCATTAATAATTATAATCTTACTAACCTCTAACCATTACCCTGTAAAAAAAAAAAATTCTATATATGTATATAAAAGAGGGTTAGTTATTTAATATAATAAAAGTTTTTTTTTATTTTAGTTGTATAATAAAAAATAACTATTTTTCATCTCTTATCACACTTCACTTGTATATTATACTTTATACAATTTAAATTCAGGATTTTTTACTTTCAACAAAAAGAGATGATTATTAAACTATTTAAGTCATTCATGAAAAGTTTTATCTTTTAAAATTGATTTTAAATCAAAAGTTACCAATTAATAGATAATAATTTAGTCAAATTTTGAGTTTAAGTTCACAATTACCTACCAATAGATAGGTTAAAATACAATAGTAATAATATTATCAAATCTGGAACATAGTTCATAAATTAAATAATAATATTATAATTATAATTTTATATAATATTTAATTAAATACTCTTATAAATCTTTTTTTAATCAAAATTATACATTAAATATATAACATAACATTAAAATTATTGAAATTCCCTTTAATAAGTTGACATTATGAATTCATAATGTTTATATGGAGTCGAGACTTAAAAAACAAACTTTTAATCCTTTTTTAACGATAAATTAAATATGTCATAAAACTGAAAGGTAGTAGACTGGTGGGAGGTAGATCACCTATTTCATTTTTATGTTTTATATTGCCTTCACATCTTACATTGATGGGATGCGTGAATCAGATTGCGTTTAGTGGTATAACATAACGTGGTTATCGCCAACGGTGGTTGGCCCCAAGCTTTAGCACTTGGGTGAGGCGGGAAGTCAGGGTTTCGAATTCTGTCATCGCTGTGAACTCCACCAATTTACGATTTAATGGTCGTGCGCCTCATCTGAGGGGTGGAATGTTCATTATTCTGGGAAGTCCCAATTGCTAATATCTAACTCTACTAACTTCCTAACCATTACCCTTGTAATAAAAAAAAAAATACATAACGTGGTTATCATGCAGTTTTGGTGTGAAAGCAAATGACGCACAAATTATAGTTTTTTTTTTTTAAGTAAATAGGACTTATATTTATAATATATTTTTTAAAATAATTTACACAAAAAAATTTCAACAGAGAAAATGAATTATAAAAGTGTTTATATCTAATTTCACTTAAATCCTTATGAAATTTTTACATGATATAAGAAAACAATAAAAAAATATGACAATCTCTACTCTTATGTAATTCTTAAAAATAATTAAAGAGCTTAATAACTAATTGAGAAGGCCACTTGATAAGTTTCTTATTGTATCATGTTTTTTAGATTTACTAAATAAATATCTTTAGATTTAAAGGGTGTTTATTTAAGTTTTATACAAATTGTTATCAATTATTTATTTTAATTAAATGAATTAAATATATTAAATTATAAATAAAAATAATTACCAATCATTATATATTTATAATTAA